TTCTTTTACAAACTTGGAGAACAGGAGGATGGGCAGGGGGCAGGGAGTTGGAACCAGTGGGAGGGGGGAGGTGGCGGGGAAAGGGTATGGAGGATGAATATGGTGCAAATACTGTGTACACCTGTGTATAAATGCAAAAAATGATACCCTTGAAATTATTCCCGGAATGGGGGGAGGGAATTCAAGTATGATATATTTGATACATTGTAAGAAACTGTGTAAATATCACAATGTACCCCCATTCAGCACAACAATAAAAAAGTACATGTTATTGAATATATTACTTGGAAATGTCATGCTTCTACTTTGTGAATTTGTAGTGAGCTATTAAAATTATTATATGATCAGAGACATTATTTGAAGCATGCTTCAATCTATTTCTTTTTAACTTAATGAGTCAGTAATAAAATCTATTCTTATAAAACCACAATCTCTTCAGAGAACACTGCACATGTGTAACTGGAATTACATTGTTCTTTAGAGTAAAAGGTAGGTAGAGTGAATAACTGTCTTCACTCAACAAGGAATCTAGCATAAATTAGTATAGATTAGTGTTAAATAACTACTAGTATGCATAGAGAACTTCACAGTGTACAAATAGTTTTATAAACAGAATAATAATAAAGAGGTTGCTAGCTGTAACAGAGTGGAATTTTTTAAATTGCTCCTTCCCCACAGAGTTGATACACAATTCTATGATGCCCTGTAATATTTGTACCCCAATATTTGCTAAATTGCAATCCCTTCTAAGTCTATTCTAATTTTCTATTTATCTTTTAATATTCTTCCCTTGAATGAAAGCTCTATGAAAACAGCAGCTTTGATTGGTTTGGTTTAATAGATTTTATTTTTCAGAGAAGTTCACAGGTTTTATTTTTCAAGTCATAGCCAAATTGAGAAGAAGAAAAAGGGGTTCCTGTAAGTCCCTGCTCTCATGCATAGCTTCTCTCTTTATAGACATCCCCACCAGAGGGGTACATTTGTTACAAATGATGAGCCTAAAAATGATGCATCATCACCCAGAGACCACAGTTTGCCTCAAGGTTCATTCTTGGTGCTGAACATTTTATGAGTTTGGACAAATGGGTACATACATGTTTTCACCATTACAGTATTATACAGTGTTTTCATTGCCCTAAAAATCCTCCATGTTCCTCCTATTCATCTCTCTTTTTCCCCTACCCTTACTAGATACTAAAATAAAGATTTAATAATGGAAATAGTGCGGTACTGAAGGCAGAAGAGACAAACAGGTGGTCAGAACAAAATACAATGTCCTAAAACAGTTCCAAATATACAGAAGACCTTTATTTATAATGACAATGGTATTCAAAACCAGTGAAGGATTTCTTAGTAAGTGGAACTGTGCACATTGACTAAAACCTATACCAATGCTAACATCAAATTAAATTCAGATGAGAAACAATGCAAAAATGAAACCACTAACCTCTAAAAGTACTAGATAATGTAGATTTAATGTTTGCATTCTTTTGGAATTAGGAAAGACCTCTCAGATATGACACCACAGTCAAACTCCATAAAGAAAAACATTTCCACACTAAAGAAGCGATGTGTCGTAAACATTAGCAAAGTATTTTAAGATGACAAGCAGTCACAACTGCAAAATGTGGCAAAATATTTGACCTATATGTGAAAAGCTCTTAAACATCAATTAAAAATGGGCAAAGATGAAAAGCAGGTAATTTACAAATGAAAAGTTATAAAAAGTCAATAAAACATGAAGAGTTCAATTTCACTAGAAATAAAAGATCTGCAAATTAGCCAATTATATAATCCCATCTCTGCAATTCCAATACCTCAAAAGCTCTGAAAATAGAGAAAAAAATTTATTCTGTGATGCAAACTAATTTTGTAGCAAAATCATAAAAAATCATAAAAAAGTCAATTTATTCCACTGACTGCAAATATTAATGCTCCCCAATAGTTCACTGTTGTACAGAGTATAACTTTATACTACTTATTTTTATAAAATATGAATTCTGAAGCAGCTCTCACCATAACAGACTCATATAATCTTTATAAGAGGAAATGGATATTAAATGACTTTAAAATAATTAGACAAGTTTATGAAGCTATACATGCAAAAATGCCTATTTAAGCATTATTTAATAATAGTAAAACTAGAAATAGCCTTACTGTCCAAAAATACATTATTTAAATATATCATGGCCTGTAACTACAAGAGTTTTACAATGAGCAAATTATGACTTAAAATGAAAGCATTTGCATAACATTGTTAAGTCAAAGACATACCTCCCAAAGTATTTTTAACAGGAACTCATTTAAAAGAATAAAAACTTAACATCCATTTTAGTGGGGAATGTTTGAACCAAAATGTTATTTGGGTAGATTGGATTTTAGGTGATTTTAAATGGTTATTTTTGTAGTTCATAATTACAATTCTTAAAAATGATTTTGTATAACAAAAAAAGAAAATGCTTTTCATATATATTTAGTCATTTTTCAATCTTAGCAATTTTGTGAAGGAGAATGGATTGCTTCCATTATCAAGAATGAAGAAACTGATGGGTGCAAAAGTTAAGACTTCTTCAAATCTACTGAACTGGTAAGTGATATGGTTCAAGTCACCTAATTCCAAATCTAGCCTCTTTTCACTGTCATAACTGTTTACTCAGGGCCAGGTGTCACCTCACACCCATTCAGATTATTCAGTTTGATAACATGAGATAATTTAACAAGGCACTGTTCCATTTAACAGCAATTTATCAGGAGCTTTGTCTGCGGAAAGTCTGTGGAGAGCATGTAGACATGGAAGTCATAGCTCATGACTCCGAGAATCCTTCAGTCCTCACAATGGGAGATTCCCAATTTAGGAGACTGCAAACATCCACAGTTTCTTAAAAAAATAGTTTGTTCAGAGTGGCAAATTTGTTTTTTTCCCAAAGTATTGTTCCCCATGATATTGAATCCACATGTGGTCTTTGAAGTACCAAAAGGTGCTGTGAAACCTACTAGCATGGATTTACAAAGGACTTACTAAGAAATGCCTCCTGATGTCCTATTGGGAAGTAGGACACCACCCTAGGAAGCTGTGGCAGTAAAGTAGATTCCCTCTTCCATCCTACTGAATAGTGGAACGAGCCCTTTCCACAGATCCAGGTCACATGTCAGGGCTCCTATTGCCCTAAGGCCAGTGAGAACAGTCCAGGGAAGTCTGTAGAAGCCAAGCTGTGCATGAACCTGGACCTGAGTTTATGGATGGTGCTGGTCTCCCTACCTCCCTCTTTTCCTAATCTGGAACAAGGACAGAGAGGCCAAGTAGGAGGAGATCAGGTGGGAATGGAATAAAGACCAGAGTGATGCCAGGAAAGTGAGCCAGGAAGGCAAGAAAAAGGAGGATAAGGAGAAGGGGGGGGGCTATGCATAGCTGGTGGTCACTCACAAAAGGCACATGAAGGACAAGGTAGTCTATGGAACAACCCTTTCACCTACACTGAGACTCAGTGGTCCCTGGACACATGTTCCCTTCATCCTCCTTACAGTTTAGATGTGGTTAATGAACCTGGTCTAGCTTAGGTGCAGTCTACAGGCTGGATCATGTCACTTGCCACAGCCTGGAGTGTGGAAGTGCTGGTGGTGAGTTGCCTTGGCAATGACCTTGGGAATACCCTTGTCAGTCTGAACCTAGACTCTTAAGTGGGAGAAAAGTCAACTGGAGAAAAGTCAACCACCTGTTATTGTCATTTTAGAGTCCTGTGATAGCACTTAAACTTACAGACAAATGAATTCCATACCAAAGATGACTGCAGCAAGAAACAAATAAGACTAGACTGGGTATAACTCAGGTAGTAGAGTGCTTGCCTAGCAAGTGCAAGACCTTTGGTTCAAACCACCAGTACAGCAAGACAAACAAACAAGACTATCACTACCAGACTTTTTTTTGAAAGATAAAGACTTATTCTAATAGCAAAATACAATTTCATTATTATATTCTAAAAAGTCCTTGTCTTTCCTCTCCTTCCTCCGCTATTCTTCCTCCAGTCAATTCTCTGGCAAAGGAGGGAGAAGGATGAACAATGAAAACCAAATGGGGCACCAGGCTCTTTTCTGTTCTGGTCCCATAGCCCATAGGACAAAAACAAGCAAACTCATCCTCCTGGCACAAATGTCTTCTTGAGGCTTAAAAATTTGAAATTCAAATTTGTTTTTCCAGGAAAGAACCTTTGGGGAGAGAAGGCCCAAAATAGCGTCTACCCCATGGGTATGTCCTTGGGCTGCAAGAAAGAAAAGAGCTAACTCACCCTGCGAGCACAGCTTCTCTTCTTTCAAACAGCAAAACCAAGAACATCTTGAAACTACCCACCCCCACTCCAATCCTCAAATTCTCCCAGCCCATGAGTAGGTTTAACTACTGTTCTTGATTCTTCACTGTAGGTAGGTATGTGCTGAATGCTTGTAGGAAGGTTGGAGGTCTTTTTCTTTCTTACTTTTTTTTTTTACTTAAAAAACTGAAATTTCATCTTGTTCTAATAAAGAATTGAAACCAATAAGGAATTTCATTAATCTGTACCTCAGTTTACCTTTTAGAGAAATGAATGGGAATGAGAGCTAACGAATCTGACATTTATTGAAGGCTCTTTCACGTGTTTCCCCCACTTTGAATGATATCATCTTGCATCACATTCATGATGTTTTACAGATGGGATGGAGAGGTGAAGCTATTTGCCCAGTGCCGTGCAGGTAGGGACAGCCCCACCGGGGAGCCCTAGAGGTTCCCTGAGGGTGAGAGGCTGCGATGTTCCTACCAGCCTCGGGGTGGATTCTGCCAGTTCACAGGTTTTGATCTCCTGTAAGCTAAGTGCCATTCTGTAAGTAATTATTTTTAATTGCATCTGACTGAGCAAATTATGTTGAGATCTTTGTCAAGAAACCTTTGGGCTCCCACTGTGCTCTCTGTGGCTGTTCCTTATTGCAGAGCCCATGATTAAAAGGTAATTTTAATCTTTCACGGTGATTACCTCGTGCTTCTGTAGGGCTCTCCAAAGACACTCTCAGCCCAGTTGCTCCAGTGATGAAGCCACTTCTTTTGAGATTTGCACGCTGAGTCCAGGGAGAGCAGGACCCCTGCTGCTTTCTCTGGTTCCGCTTTTGCCCTTGCCCACACTTCCTCCTCCTTCTGCAGTTCAGGGCTTCCTCACTGGGGATGCAGGAATGAAAGGCAAGGCATATAAACAGAGTATCTGCCTTCAGGCAAACCAGGGAAAAGAAAGAGGAAGGAGGAGATTTTTCTCTGCAGGAAGAATGATCTCATTGTCTACAGGCACATGAAGTCAACTGGACCCTGAATCTTGCCTTCCTCTCCTCGCTGACACTGCCCTCTTCTTGCCTGGCAGCCTGGGACCCAGCAGGAATGGCTGCCCCAAGGTGGAGGCCAGCTGTGCTGTGAACCACAGGGCTCTCCAATTTCAGGGGTTACCATGAGTGGGGCCCAAGGTGATTGAGTTTGGAACCAGCAGAATTTGAAGGAAACACATGCAAGTCAGGCTTTCTATACCCAAGTCCAGTTATGTCTCCTCTGGGTCTCTGGTAAGCTCAGGAAGCCAGGCAGCTTTTTGGACTGGAGGCATTCTACACAGGAATGACCTCCTTTTAACCTATTTCTTAACTACCTAGGGAGGAAGTACTTTTAATTAATTTATTGATTGATTGATTTATTATTATTATAATTATTATTGCAGTGCTGGTGATCAAACTCAGGGCCTTGTACATGCTAAGCAAGCTCTGTACCATTGAACTACATTTCTAGCCCTTTAAATTGATTTTTAGTATTTTAAAGTGATGTGACTAAGTACTATGTGATGGTCACTAATATGAGGAAGAATGGGAGTGAATTTAGAGGTCTAGTTCCCTTGTAGCTATCACATTCATTGTTTTCCTAAAGATACAGTTCTAATTAGTTAGAAGTTCCATGCTATTCTGAAATTTAGCAGGCTGGGGAGGTAGCTCAGGAGTAGCCTGCTTGTCTAGCAGGCCTGAGGTCCTGGGTTTTATTCTTAGCCTCCTTTAGTTTACCTTACCACCTCTCCCACTGATCCAAGTACTGCCCCAAGGGTACTCTGAGTGAGCTGATTCAGGAGGGACCCTCTGCCATGGGAGAGCCTTTCAGCTAGCCCGAGCCCTATTCTTCTGGTTGGTAAACATCCCCAATGCCTTTGCTTATCTTTCTTTCTCCAGTTTCTAGACCGGCTATCTAGATCTCCTTTGCACAGACACGTGAAGTTTTTCATAGTTCTCTGTGCTAGTTGTTGCCAGGATAGCTAATCCATGCTTAATAAGTTTTAATTTTGGTACAATACCTCGAACATAAAATTTATTATGCTAATTATCTTTAAGTGTGGAATTTGGTGACATGAGTAAGTTCACATTATTGTGCAACTGTCACTGCCATTTTTTTCCAGAACTTTTTCATCATCCCAAACTCTGTACCCATTAAACACACCCAATTAGCCCCTTCCATTGACTCTGCTAGTCTACTTTCTGACTCTCTGAATTTGACTACTCTCAGTACCTCATACAAATGAAATCATATCTTTTGTTGGCTGGACTTTTTCATTTAGCATAATGTTTTCAAGGTTCATCCATGATGTAGCATGAGTCAGAATTCCATCTCTTTTTTAGTAATATTGCATTGTGTAGACATGCCACATTTATTTGTCCATTCTCCTGTTGATGGATACTTGGGCTATTTCTTCTTGTTGGTTATTGTGAATAATGCTGCTATGAAAATTGATGTACAAATATCTGAGTCTTTGTTTCAATTCTTTGAGCACACTTAAGGGTAGAATTGCTGGGTCATACGGTAGTTCTGCTTAACTCTTTGAAGAACCACTGTGTTTCCCACAGTGACTGTACCAGTTTTACATATCCATCAACAATGCATGGGAGTTCCATTTTCTCTATGTCACCCACACTTATTTTCTGCTGTTTTGGTAATAGCCATTGTACTAGGTATGAAGATAGTTTGTTCTGATTTGCATTCTCCTAGTGACCAATGAGGCTCAGCATCTTTTCTGTATGCAACATGCTTATAAAAGATATCCAGGATAATCCTATTCAACAGATATTATCTAAGCAAAAGAAGTTAGAGTTTTATAATCCAATCTATGTAAACTAAGAATGAACTGACTTTCATGGAAGCTGCATTCACCTGTGCACTCATCCAGAAATACTGGTTAACTGAAACTCCTGAGTCAGGTCATCATCATGTTTTAAAGTCATATTTTCCCCACCTTGCTCTGGACCAGGTAAAGTGTTAAGTCTAGATAAAGGCTTGTACCAAATGTAGATGTCAATTTGGTCTTAGCCTAGTTTTTCAGTCTATGTCACTATTGACCCTTCCCGTTTTGTGAGTTCGGCTGTAATTGGGCCTGACTTCTAAGTCTTCGTTCAGGACATTTATTTCTGCAAAATGCTAACGACAAGGCAGAATCAAGAACAGAATTCTGTGACTTGCCACGAAGGACCCTCTTTCCCAGATTTGAAATGAATTGTTGCTCCCTAGGAACTAGCTGGGTGTTTTCATGTTCCCCCCAGGAGTGTTGCAAGTGATTCTGGGTAAATAGCTTAATGGAACACAAAGGCTCTCCAGTCCAATATTTCACAGGTCTAATTTCACAAAAATGTAAAGTAGGTGAGGCTGGCATGAATATTAGTAAGTCTATCTTTTTTTAAAATAAGATACCTACATAGTAATTCTCCTCTTACAGTCCAAGCCTATTCCTCTTTTGAGTGAGGATACTGCTAGTTAGCATTCTTTTTTCAATTATTCTTCTTATATATTGATGGTGCATATTAAAATCACCTCCAAGCCTTCTCTTTTTCCATATGAAATAATATCAACTCTTTCCTTTCTCCAAATACATTCATATTCAACTTTTAAATGCTTTTTTAAAAACTCTCTGGATAGTATCTGGTTTCTATATGAACTTATTAAAATGCTGAGACAAAGCAATTCTGCAGCAGTAAGTTTAAGGTCAAGGAAAGCAACCACACACCTTTTCCAAAAAGTTTGTGATTCTTCTGGAGGCAGGAGCCTGGGCTGAACAGATGGACTGCAGTTCTAATTGTGGATACTTCTGCTTTCACTAAGAATGATGAGGCCAATAGAAAGCTCCATGAGGAACTGGGTAAACTTGGGGAAAGTCATGTAACCTATTTGAAACTCAGCTTCTTTGCCCATAAAATGTGGGAGTAGAGATTAATCTCTCCAGTCTATTTTAGTTCCAACACCTGTAAAGGATTATGGCCTGTTAAGGTTAGTAGCTGCACTCACCATTGTGCTAACCCTAATGCATTTACAGAGAAACACCTACCATCTTGAAGATATGTCCTTGCATTCTCATGTGATGGGAACAATCTATAACTGATCTGTTCGGTAACGACATTTGTACTGTTTGTTGAGTGTGGATTCTAGATAGGCAAGCACTGATAGGAAATTAGAATTCCATCCTTGAGATACTTGCATTTTAGTGGAAGCAAAAAAACCTGAATACAAATCACTGGTAGAAACCATGGAGATTTGAATAGCTTATAACATAGACTCTACAATTTTAGAGGAACCAGTTTTTCCTTTGAGACAAAACAGAATTTGAGTGTAATACAGTGGTGGACTGTCAGGTGTATTTCTCCATCCCTTTAGAAATGTTAGCTTCCAGCACAGAGAGGTACATACTAGGTACCAGAAGATCAGTGCAATATTGAACTTGATATTACAAGGTCATTTGCCTGTTTCATGCTTCATATTCCTTATCTGGAAAGTCTGGAGGTCGTAATGGCTATGTACATCCTAAGCATACAGCCCTAGGTGTGCCTAGGAATATGCTGGGGAAACAGACAATGCAAGGCCCAGGTCACACTCTCAACTATTTCTACTAAACAAATTAAAAATAATTTCTTTTTCTACTTGACTGTCGAAGTCCCCAAAGCTAGAAGGAAACCCCACTGCTAACGTGCCCTTAACCAACACAGACTTCCTTCTGAAGACTCTAAGAAAAATCACAGGCTGGGAAGTCACTGTGTCGGCAAACCCTACCAGTCAAGTGTTTTCCCAGGGAGAACTCAGCCTTTAAATGTCTAGCAGGAGGCAAGGACTCCTCGCTACTACCCTTTGAAGTTGTGTTCTTTAGTTAGTCTAGCAGTTCCTGTATTTCTGTGTGCTCAGTTATGGGTGAGCTCACATCCTGCCGTGTTTACTTTTAAAAAGAAAGGAAGAAAAAGTCACACAGGTGGAGCCCAGGCATCTGAAAATACCAAACCTGGCAGCAAGGCGAATGCTACAGTATTTGTCACTGTCTGCTGGGCATACTTTCTGTCTTTCTGTCTCCAAACAGAGGAAAACAACAAAATGGGGAAGGGTGATTTTGGGAAAAAGTGGGCAAGTACATTGTTAGAAATGCCATAACTACATTCTTCAAGAATATTCACAGAATAAGAGTTCATGCATCATTTTAAAGCCAATGTCAATTCCTGTCACCCTTATCTATTAGAGAGAAACTAACCACTGCTTTGTGGTTACATAAAAAGCAAACATACACCTCCAGACTAAAAACACTGTCATCAATGATCAAGTGAACTCTCTCCTAACAGCACGTTTACTGATAAGGTCTTTCATGGCCCAGAGAGCTGTTCCCCAGGGATATACACTGAGCTGGGCTGAGGTCCTGGACTGAAAGGAATGCCAGCGTGGAACAGGAACTCACAAAATCTGTTCTCTTCCACTAACTCTCACTGCCGTCATGTCCCTTATTCCTATTGTCTGAGATAGGGTCTTACTGTGTAGCCCAGGCTGTCCTGGAACTCCCTGCGTAGCCCAACCTTGCCTCAAACTTTCTTTTCTCCTGCCTCAGCCTCCTGAGTGCTGGGATCACAGGTGTGCATCCTACACTTGGCTCTGTCATTCATTCTTGAAGTGCATCTTTTCTGGGTTGAGCTAATGGTGACCTTGTTTCACTTATGATCTGTGTAGGCAGCTGTCAGACTGAAAAGAGCACTGTGCACCCGTTCTGGGAAGGAGACAAATTATCTTTAACCCCACGATGCTAAGAGACTGCTATTGTCCTTTTCTCCCTTAGGTAAGTTGAACTGATTATATCATTGATCTTACTACAGCAAAATTATCACCTCTTGGGAAAGAGGTTT